AGCCGGGCTCGGTGGCTCAGCCTGTAATCCCACGCCTTTGGGAGGCTGAGGTGAGTGGATTGCCTGAGCCTGCGGGTTCGAGACCCGCCTGGGCAGCGAGACCTCATCTCTACAATAAATCAAAAATCAGCCGGGCGTGGTAGCGCGTGCCTGTAATTCCGGCTACTCGGAAGGCTGAGGCGGAAGGATCGCCGGAGCCCAGCAGGTCGAGGCTGCGGTGGCCGGGAGCGGCTACTGCACTCCAGTCTGGGCGACAGAGTGAGACTCCAACTCAAAACAAAAAAAAAAAAAAAAAAAAAAAAGAATAGCTTTGTCCTTTAATTTTAGAACACTTATTAAGAATTTTTTTTTTTTTATGGCCACAAGTTTTTTCCCAAAGCTAGTTAGAGATGATTCTCTGAAAATGGCAAAGTGTTTTACCTAAAATGTGTTTATTTTCTATCCCTCCCCTCAACCATGAAACTTCCCAAGAATGATGGATGAGGTCTTATAGGGCAGGTCTTGGCCAGAGAGCTTTAATTCTTGGGAATTTTATTCATAAAAATTATATTTACCTATATAATTTTCAACTTTATTGACCTATAGTTTTACATATAATTATTTAAAGAATTTGGGATCTAAAATATGTTATAAAGTAATGACTCAAGAGCAACTATTTCCTTTCTCATTGATTTGTGAGCCTATGATCATTACCTCCTACAATATTATGTATACTGCTTTTTTCTGGATTATTGTTTTTTTCATAACTCTTATATCATTACAACACTATGTGTTGATCAAAGTTTATAAAATATTTTTGCTTCTGAGCATATAAGCTTTTTTCAATTTTTTTCCCCATAGATATTGTCACACGTTTGTTTATGCAAAAGAAATGTAGAATTAGTTTATTGAGTCCAAGGAGAAAAAGAGGTATATTTTTATGGGAATTGTGTTTTGCTATAAATCAATAAAATATGTATTTTTCTGTAGTCTTTCCCCTTAGGATTCAGTACATTCCAAAGAAATTCACTTGCACGAAATTTGGAAAGTGGACATGAGGTGGAGGCTTTTCTTTCTGTGATGGTGATGGCTGATGCCAGTCTTTCAGAGGCCAGACCAGACTGCACATGCCACTCTTTGACAGAATGACCAACTGTGATAGCAGCACCAGTCTCCAGGTGTTTCCTGCTTTCAGAATGGCAGTGACCATTTTCTGTTTTCAGTTGGATGGCAGTTTCATGGCATGACCTTGCTGTCTGGTGGAAGTTCCATGACTTCCACTCTTCCATTAATTCTAGTAAAATTTTAAATCCAAATTTATTTTCTGTGTGAAATTCCTAAAGTGATCTCTAGTTTCTGCATTGAAACATAGTCCTATAAAACAGACTAAGCCGGGCTCGGTGGCTCAGCCTGTAATCCCGGGCCTTTGGGAGGCTGAGGTGAGTGGATTGCCTGAGCTCGTGGGTTCGAGACCCGCCTAGGCAGCGAGACCTCATCTCTACAGTAAATCAAAAAATCAGCCGGGCGTGGTAGCGCATGCCTGTAATTCCGGCTACTTGAAAGGCTGAGGCGGAAGGATCGCCGGAGCCCAGCAGGTCGAGGCTGCGGTGGCCGGGAGCGTTCACTGCACTCCAGTCTGGGCGACAGAGTGAGACTCCAACTCAAAACAAACAAACAAAAAAACTAGCTCTGAGCTGGCATTTGTGACATAGTGTCAACAATCAAAGGAATTGATAACAGCTGTGCTGGCGAGACTGCCAGGAAGTGGCAGGCCTAGGACAGGGCTGTTGGGAGAATAAATAGTCCAGCCCTGTGGCAGATCGTTGGCATCCATTCTCAAAATGTCATGTTCCTATGTCCTGGGACACAGAAATCTCAATCCTGGGAATGGGTCTCACATGTGTTCTTGCCCATGAGGGAATTATGTGGGTCTGGGGTTACTCCCTGTAGCTTTGTTTGAAGGGCAGAAGTTTGTCAACCATTCAAATGAAGAGGGCCAGGGAGATGACTGTGTTTTGGGCATGCCATGGAATAGTATACAACTGGGTAAAAGAATCAGGAATGTCTTGTATACTGAAAGGCAGTGAGCTCTGAGGTATATTGCAAAGGTGAAAAAAAGGTAAAAGGTATGCTGAGGCCAGGTCCAGTGGCTCACATCTGAAATCCTAGCACTTTGAGAGGCTGAGGCAAGAGGATCACTTGATCCCAGGAGTTTGAGACCAGCCTGGGCAACATAGTGAGACCCCTGTCTCTACAAAATATATGTGTATATATTTTGCAAGTAGCTGGGCCTGGTGGCATGCAGCTATAGTCCCAGCTACTCTGGAGGCTGAGGTGAGAAGATCTCTTAAGCCCAGGAATTCCAGGCTACAGTCAGCTGTGATCGTGTCAGCTGCCCTCCAGTCTGGGCAACATTAGCAAGACCTCATCTCTACAAAAAAAAAAAAAATTAGCCGGGCATGGTGTTGCATGCTTGTAGTCCCAGCTACTCGGGAGGCTGGGAGGCTGAAGCAGAAAGATCACCTGAGCCCAGGAATTGAGGCTGCAGTGAGCCATGATTGTGCCACTGCACTCCAGCCTGGGCCACAGAGCAAGACTGAGTTTAAAAAAAAAAAAAAAAAAGAGAAAGTAAGTATGCTGAATATGAGTGGCATGCCACCTTAGGGAGGGGCAATGGGGCAGAGTGGGGAGACCATATACGTGTATAAGAGTGTTCTGGAAGGAAATTTGAGAAGTGACTTAGGGGAGAGGCTGAGAGGCTCTGGGAGGGAGTTGGGGAGTGGAAATTTTCTCTGTGTACCTGTTTTTACTTGGAAGACTTTGAACAGTGAGAATAAGTTAACACAGTGTGTGTGTGTGTGTGTGTGTGTGTGTGTGTGTGTGTGTGTGTGTGTGTAATCCAAATGAAAACAAAATAGGCTTCCATGGTGGCATGCACATGTAGTCCCAGCATGGGAGGCTGAGGCGGGAGGATCACCTGAGCCCAGGAGTTTGAGGCAGCAGTGAGCTATGATCACACCACTGCACTCTAGCCTGGGTGACAAAGGGAGAGACCATGTCTAAAAAAAAAAAAAAGAATAGACCAAATGTCTTTGGAATTGGCCTTGGGTTCCTGTCCCAGCATGCCCCTTAGTAACTGGGTGACCTTGGGGGGACATGGCTTTTCCGTTTGCCATCAAGTGAGACCTCCTCTGACAGGTATAAAGTGGTAGTGAGGAAGAAAGCATGTTCTACCATCATGATGCCAGGCCAGAGGAAGCCTCTGGGCAGATATCAGCCTGCTTCTGATTGGGAGGATGGTTTTTGTTTGTTTTTTTGCAACAGGATTTCACCCTGTCACCTAGGCTGGACTGCAGTGGCACCATCTTAGCTCACTGCAGCTTTGACCTCTTGGACTCAAGTGATCCTCCTGCCTTAGCCTCCCCACAGTAGCTGGGACTACAGACTTGAACCACCAAGCCTGGCTGATTTTTCTACTTTTTGTAGAGATAAGGTCTCACTTTGTTGCCCCAGGCTGGTCTTGAACTCCTGACCTCAAGCAATCCTCCTGGCTCAACCTCCCAAAATGCTGGAATGACAGGCAGGCACCACCACGCTCAGCCTGATTTAGTGGATATTTGAGCAGATGCTGGCATTTCTAGGTGAGGGAAGTCCCCAAATATCTCAGTTGCCTCTGAAAACCCCAAGGGAACCTCAGTGATCTATTACAGAAACAGAACAGAGTACCACATGTTCTCGCTCATAAGTGGACCCTGAACATTTGCCATAATACGATAAGAAAAGGATTGGTGGCCGGGCGCAGTGGCTCATACCTATAATCCCAGCACTTTGGGAGGCCGAGG